TTATTTTTTTTTGTCTATAAAATTATACCGTAACGAGAAAAAAAATTTAAAAAAAAAATTCGATTTTTGAAATTTTGAAAAATTTGGAGTGACCTCTTAAAAATTTTTTTTTGAGCTGTCCTTTGGTGAGGGCTCTTAAAACATCAAAAACAAACATTTTTTCACTCGAGACTCAAAAAAAAAAAATAGTCGGTTTTTTTGCGCCACCCTAATATATATAGTGTAGCAGTTCTTTAAATAGTTATCTTTCTTGCTAAAGTATTAATTCTATCAAGCTGTTCCTAACATATGATTGTATTTATTTTTCTCTACTAACAAGATAAATCGTAATAGACGTTTATATTATACATTTATAATTGAATGATGTGATTACTGCTGCTATTATTATTGTAATTTAAGTGATATATTTTTTTATTACTTTGTCTATTATTTACTACAATTATTGCCGCTGTAAAAAGTAAAAACCAACTAACTTTTTTTTTGTTCCAAGATTACAATTGTTGTGCAATATCATCATTTTTACGATAAATTATCGCGTGAGAAACTCTTTCAATATTACATATCATACTTCATTAAAATTATTTTAACTACATTTTATCAAAGCTGTATGAACATTAAAATTTCTTTGAATCCAGAAAATCGTTGAGTTTTTAGTAGATTTCATAGAAATCTAACTATTTCATTTGTCCTCATGGCGGAACTTTCGAAAAATGTTGCTTTTTTCTGACTTGGTTCGTCGAGCTGATTCAGAAAATACATATGGTTCAAAAGTTGATACATGTATATATACGATATAACGCGGCTTGTCCGGACGATATCGTCTCTAATTTATAATGGATCTTCTCCAAACTCAACATACTTAATTTTTAGACGAATACCAAGGTTAAGTTCAAAGATGAGTTTAATTGGTCAAGTAGTTCAAAAATTACAGGGTTTCACAATTTTCAAAATCGTAAAAATTCATATTTTGGCAGTTTCTTTCGCGGATAACTTTTTAATGAAATAACTTATTGAATTTTTGTAAATTTCATTTTAAGGCTCATTAAACGAGCTTCAATTTTTATGTCATTTTATGCTTCTAAACTGAAAATAACCTATTCTTCTGAAGATATTTAATGAAATTTTACTATTGCATTCGTTTTAACTCAGGGAGAAGGAATTCTATCAATGTGATTGAAGTATTTGTATTATTAGTGTTGTGATTTTATTTAAGTAGAAAATCTACTTCCATTTCGGCTGCCGAATGGCACTTTTTTAGTCTTATTCTTGAATTGTTTGAGAAATGTTGTAAGGTATAAAAATAATCTTCTCTTCTTCATTTTGAACTCAAAGTTCTAAAAGGAAATAAAAATGAGATTGAGGAAATAATGTTTCATATATTTTTGAACAATGAAATTCAGTACAAATTATAGGTTCAAATAATTGTATGAATTTTACATATTTCGTTTTTTAACGTACATTGTCTTAATTTTAGAAACTGAAATAGTAAAGATTAATTTTTTTTTTAAAGCTAATGTTTTTTTAAGATTAAGTTTAGAAAAGTGTAACGTACATATTTTGGTTTAAAAAGTATTATGGTGTGACTATCAAGCGACATGGCTACCAATAAGTAAATTTTCCCGCGCGTCTCAATGATCTCTAAAAGCGCGGGAAGTTGAAGGTCATGTGTAAAATGACGTCATTGATGTAGCTACTTTTTTCTCTGGTGCTGAGCCACTTTGCAGTTGGTCGTGGGATCTTATCGTAGTTTAAATGGTCGACGGAATGTGGCAAGTTCTTACCATTCGCATGAATACTCTGATGGTTACGATGTATTGAAGAGTCAGAAGAAGAGGAAGAAGAGAAGGGTATTGGTCAGGGCCGTAACTCTTTTGTTTGAGTGCCTTCATTGGTATTTATTTCACGCATACTGGGCATTTTATTTTATTTTTCCTTAAAATTAATTTGTAGTCTAAAAGGTTTTAAATTTAAAACATGATGATTGTTTTATCTTCTTTATTACTTTACGGAACAAAAAATTGTTACATGTTACTTCTACTGTATTAATTAAACTATTTTTTCAAGATATTACATTAAGTTATTCGAAGCAACATAGACGCCAAAAAAAAAAATCAATTGTTTTTAGTGTCATTTCGTTGCGCAACAATTGATAAGTTAGCTTGAATACAAACTGATTAGACATGACAAGGTAGTCGACAGTAAATGATCACATAGTAAATTCCCACCCTGATAACATTCTACAACGACATGTTTCTACGAATAGTATCAG